GTTTCCCCCCCCCCCCCCCCATTGCCAGTTGCACACGAATGGGGTGGTATGGGAAGGTTGAGGTCAAAAGAGAAGGGAGGAATTAAGCATTTCTCCAGATAGTTGATTACATTAAGGAATATAAAGTATGGATAGAAATTGGTTTTCCCAACTGGAACATAGCTGTGAAAGCTGGTTAAAAATTACCTTTGATCTCTGCTGCTGGAAAAGATTGTTGAGAATTCTTTAGACCACAAGAAGAATGAATAATTTAATACCAGATGAAATAAACCCAAACTGATTACTGAGAGGGAGGGGGTACTAATAACAAAGCTAAAGCTTAATATTTTGGACACATGATGTGAAGACAAGAGTCACTGGAGAAGATTGATGCTTAGAAAAATTGAAAGCAATTCCAGAGGACAGTAGAAGACAAGACAGCTAGATACTGTATTGTCACTTGGACATAAGAATAAGTTTGTTGATTCTTTGTAACCAAATGGTCAATATTTTGACAGGATTATCAGTCAATACAGTAACTGCTTCTCTGAGTTCTTGTAAACTTATTCTTATGTCCAAGTGACATATAGGCCTTCGATTCATGGATTCAGATAAGGTTTTAAACCATGCTGTTTTTTTGGTTTCTAGTGAAATATATTTAGTTCCATGGGAAACAAAGGGGCTGGTAAAAAGTTGAGATGGAGATTTCATCACTTGGTCTTTATTCTTTAGGTGAAGTGAGATGTTCTAGCGGAATATATATTCTGTATATGAATTAACAATCTCATATACTGGTAGACACCATCTTCTCCTCCAGACTATGCATAATACAATGTTATAGTGTCTTCATCTGATGTGATAAAATCTCAATATCCTAAACTGATGGATAAATCCAATACATGTTTCAGGGATATTTTAAATGTAATAGCTGAAGATCAACATGACTCATGATTAGGAATGTGAAAGTAGAGAGTTGCATGTAGTTCACTGATTGGTGTGTAGGTATAGCAATCAGCAGTTATAGTGATCAATTCATTGTAGATCCCTAGTCTATAGTAATGTAAGTTGTAAATTATCACTCATATATTGCATTTATTTCACATGGATTCAAAATATTTTAAATCAAAACTGCTTACAGAAACAGTGAGTAACAGGCCATTCATATTACTATCTTAAAAAAAGGGGGATGATTCAAAGAAAACTGCTTGCTCAAGCCTTTTTTAGAAAGTTTCCAAAACACTGCTCACCTGATGGTATTCACTTTGATGGCCAGAAAACAGTAGTTTGAAACGACAGAGAGTCCCCGATATCAGGGACCTCTTGCTTGTGTCCATATGATTGTAAAGTTTTGAAAATAAGAAAGAATGGTAGGGGATATGGCAGTCTCTGATTCCTGTCATTTCAGATACTCCAATTGCAAATACTGCAGTAAATGTAAGCATGCATTATGAATAAAGCATTTAGCCTCTTAGATGCAGTCATCGTCTATTGATATAATACGGACACAAAAAAATACCAGCTGAGATAAGAGCTAAACTGATTCACTGAACTGCTGCAGTGGGTCCCTTTTTTATGGATCTGGGTTTAGTGCCAGTAAAGCACTTTACGTATTATTGTATAAATTTGTAGCTGCCATAAATTTAGGGAAATCTTTGAAAAAAGGCCCTCTTCAATGACTGAACACCAAATGCAGATTAAAAGCACGTATATGCCAAAGCTGGATTTAAAGCTATGATTTATGCCATTTTCCAGGATTTTATTTTTAACTCATGAAATTTTAATACTTGCACTTTCTGATTTAGGAGAATTCAAAAGAGTGAGGATTAGATCTGCACTTTGTTTCAAAGCAGTTACTGTTTAAAAAAGAAAATCCCACATGGTACACAATATCTGCTTTAGTATTTGTTTACTATTATTACATACTTGACATTCAATAAAATGTAACAGCCATAATACTTGAGACAGGCCAATGCTTTGGTGAAATCTGCTAACTTGATGGTATCATTTGTGCAAATACCTTGTCCATGCAGATGAGCATATTCTGTATCAATACCTCTAATTTCTTGCTGTTCATTATTTTAAGTAGAGTATCTTCTTTAAAAACAAGCAGCTAGAACATAGGCAGTATATGGTAGACACTTCCACACAAGGTTTTGGTGGTGCAGCCAATGCCAGTCTATCACTGGCATTGAACAGCTGAGCCCATTTATTTCCAGCTCAAGTTCAACTGTGGTTTGGCTAGCAAGGAATGTGTTGCTGTTGAAGCTAGGGGTTCTGCAGAACTTAAGGACAGATTGTTTTCACATTACTGGGTGCTTTATCTCCCAGTTCCAGGCTTTCCCTTCCCCTGCACACTGCCATTCATAAAGCCAGCCTTTCATAACTTCAGCTGAAAGCAGTCGTAGAGTAAGAAGTGGGGGTTGAATGACCAACAGCTAAGATAGCCTACTATGGAAAAGGAAGAACAAGAGCTTGTAGTTGGATGGGGTTGGATGTATTGCAGAGAGCAGGGGAAGAGCTCTGTAGTGCAATCTGCTTGGGGCCTACAGCTGTGGAGTTTATGGCTGAATTAGAGGTGCTATCTGTTTTTTATTGTTGTTTTGGTTTTTTTTACAAGCATGTTCAACATGTAACTCTTTTTAATGGTAATAATGTATTTCCTGAACGCCAAGGGTTAATGGGAGAGAACTTGAAACAACCAATATTCACAAATTTGTCAGACCTATTTAAAAGTACCTTTCACTTAATAGTTTCCAATAAATACTTTTGAAGTAACTTCTCTGTTGAGTTGAACTTGAGGTCTGGTAAGTTCATGGACCCATCCCTATAGGGTTTGGGGTTTTGTTTTGTTTTTTTGGCAACAGTACCAGAGTTGCGGGCAGGGGGCATTTTTACTTTTTTACTTTGTTTTTACTTTTTTTCTGGGATGTTTGTTCAACCCCCAGTCTAGACTATAACCTAAATATTCCTTCCAACTCCAGTCAAGAACAACTTGTGCTCTTGACTCTGGCAGCCTGAATCCTCTGGAGGGGACCAAAGTGAGGGAAGGCCACTTCTTCACTGCATTCTTTAAATTTTGCACCACCAAAAAATTCTCACTAAAGTGATTTAGCTAACACTTATTGTGCCAATAAATATCCCAGTTAGAATAGAGTACAAAAATAAGCAAGCAAATAATAAAAACCTTAGTAATTTGGATTGAAGAGGAAGGTGCTTCTATTTACTTAACCAATACTTAAGGCCTTGCACTTCTGTTTAGCAAATAATATAGTAATGGGATTCAGATCATAGGGTCCCCTTTATGCAGGGATGCATAACAGCTCAGAGGTTTTATTCAGTTGAGAGTTACATCTTCACATTTGCATATGAATGCAGATACACACATGAACATTCAGGAATTGAGATAGAACATTCACCACAATTCACACTCTCATATATGTACATAATAAATTTACATGTAAATGGCAATCACATGACCACAGGAAGCTGTGATCAAGCAGGATTCACCTAACAATGGAAATCGGGACTGCCAGAACTGTCTTCATAAGTCAGTGTGGTCACATGACATCATGCCTTATGACCATGTCACTTAGCAATGGAGTTCTCTGTCCCAGTTACCATTGGTAAGTGAAGACTACCTGTACACATATATAGAAAGACATTTTCTGGCCTACAAAAATCCAAATGACTGCTAGAATACAGCAAATAGTTTTCTTTACTACATTCTAGTGATGGTCCAATTTTTGTAACAGAATCAGAAAATCTTAAGTTTTCTTCTAGAGAAGAAGAAAAATTTGTTGCATTTTTGCAGCCACTGGCAGTGAAAATGCAGCAATCTTCAGTCATTTTACTCAGAGGAATAGATAATCAGATAAGTTCCTTTTTTCCCTCAGTAAAGGATGAGTAATTGTTGCATTCTTGTCTGTTGACAAGAATAGCCAAAACTAAGAGTGTCTTCTGTTCCACTTAGAAATATTAATAAGCTTAAAATCAGTGGAATGCTTAAGTAGATTTATAGTAGAAACCAAAGTAGCCAGAAGTTAACAGAAAATAAATTATCAGAATTCCTTTTATAATTGCTGTGGTAAAGGCTGAAAAAGGGGTTATCATAAGTGAAATAAACTTATGATAACCTCTGAATGAAAGGGATGGCAAACAACGGTGAACAAATAAAAAAGATAAGCCCAGACTCACATGGTGAAAGAAATATGTTTTGTTTATTTATTTGTGAATAACGAGGGTCCAGAGTTGAAGTTTCTGCTGACCATAGTATTAATATAATTAATGTTCATTTTCTACTACCATGCTACAGTAAATTCAGAGATAGTGGATTACCAGTACAATGAAATCTATATTCCTGATTAGTAGAATATCACTACAGCAAACCAGTTATTCTTTTATTTCCATGTGTATTTATATATAGCATACTTTTTATTCATGAACACCTAGACATAGGAGAATAGCCAATTAGTAGTCACATGCACTCTCTGATGATTTTGCCTCATTTATGATTAAGGGCTGGTAAGAGGGAAAACAAATTAAGAAGCTTTTGAATGGTCAGAAAGGGTGGTGGTGGTGGTGGTGGGAGAGATGTACAACCCCTTTTGTCTAATATAGTCAAGTTTTAATATCTCAAAAGAAATGAATGGAAGAATCCAGATGCAACCTTGCGCAGGCAAAATAGTTTACACACATATTATCAAGGGAGGGAGAAACATGGGTCCTTGTTTTTTGCTTCATGCTTTCTTTTTCTTATCTCCTTTACTATAGTCTAGCTGGGGGATTTCAACCCCTTCCTCAGGTATGAACACACTGATGGTGAAATCACTTGTCTCTGTACCATATTGGTTTTTGACTACAAGGCTATATCTGCCCGAATCAATCGTACTGACAGCCGCGATGGTGAAGCAGGCTTGTTTTCCTGATTCATATTTCAGGATGACATTGTCATCTGCTTTCAGGAGCTTTTCATTCTTGAGCCATGAAATCTCAGGGACAGGATTTCCCCAGATACTGCAAGTAAGATTAAGTGCCTGCAGGAAACATACAAAGGATGTAAATAGCAGCTATAAATGAATAAACATCCTAAATATCTATGCTTTGTTTTCAACTTTCTTATTTAAACAGAAGGGATATCTATAATTATTACAAGTTCCAGATTACATACAGGTGAAACTCGAAAAATTAGAATATCGTGCAAATGTTCATTTATGTCAGTAAGG